TGTCTCTTCCCTCTGCAGTGCATCAGAATGCCAGCCGCAGGATCCACAGGTGCCACAGCCTCATGGAAACACGTTGCGAGCCCTCTTGAGAAAATGAACAGCATAGCGTGGCCGCTCACAAACCGCTCGCTTCCCAGGAGGTGAATTCATGCGGCTCTCCGCCATCTCGGCTGACCTCACCTTTTGGGGCGAGAGGCAGGGGGGAGCCCCCCTTCCAAGCAAAGCGCGGGAACGCAGCCAGCTTCCAAATTTATTTTCCAAGAGTGGCCCAAAGATCTATGAAAGGTGCGGAGAAACTCTTGGAAATTCAGATCGTGCCCTGCAGCAGAGGTCAAAAAAAGTCAAGACGGATGCAGTGCCACTCAGTGAAAAAGGGGCGGAGCTCCAGTGGGGCAGTCGTGATCCCATCTTGACTTTTTGCTCCCCCCCACCCCCCACGGCTGCCTCTGCTCTGCAGGATGCTATCGTCCATTTTGTTTGTTTGTAAACGAAGCTTCCCGCATAGCAGGCAGTGTATGAAAACCTAACATAAAAGCAACTCATACAACAAAACGTCATTAAACCCACCCTCAAGGCAGTGTAAAATAACAACGCTGCCCAGTCACTATTAAGCATCAAAAGCCTCTGAATAAATTTTTTTGCGGCCTTCAGGTATGTCAAAGGGGTCAGTGCACCTTTGGGCTGCAAGGTTTTCCAAGGTGTGGAGGCTATGACATCTGAAGAGCAGAAAATGGGAGGTAACTCCTGACTGACATAAAGGGAGGATTTGCTGGGTATGTTAGCACCACAGGCGTCGCACTAGGGGTCCAGAGTCTACTGCTATTGCAAGTATAGCCACTACATATTACAAATACTTAACAGCAATGGCAAATATAGCAGTTAAAATTACATGCTTATTTTCTTGTGTGCCTTCAAGTCCATGTTGGACTAGTCCCTGCAGTTTTCCTGGCAAGGTTTCTCAGAAGTGGTTTGCCCTGGCCTCCTTCCTTGGGCTGAGAGGGAGGGACTGGCCCAAGGCCACCCAGCCGGCTTCGTGCCTGAGGCGGGACTAGAACTCAGTCTCCTGGGTTCTAGCCTGATGCCTTAATCATGACACCAAACTGGCTACACCAAAATTATATGATGCAACAACAAATGCACTAATATTTGCTTCCCTTTATGAAATACAAACTGTCCAGAAATTTGGACCATGGTTGGGTTCACATGTTGGATTAAATTAGGGTTTGCTTAACGTTGCTTTGCTGAATATACCAAGCCAACATCAGAGAAATCAGATGGTGGCTTGGAGTATGTGTGAGCCCAGCCAGCATGCCTCCATTGTCTGCCAAGGTACACTGTATGACTGGCAAATACTATCCCGCTCTTAAGCTCTGTTCATACATCACAGTAAGTTAGGGTCATTTAATCATCATGTATGACAGTGTTCATTCAACATGCCAAATCACAAACAAGCAGATCTCAGTTTGTATGAATCTAATCAGTGTGAAATGCAAAAAATTTCTTGCAAAAACATAGAGAAAATTATTTGCTTTGTTCAGTTTCT